TGCCTGAATGTCTTCTAGCTGGTTACTCAGTGCAAACAGGAGGTCTGGATGTCAGTTCTTCATTCAGCGGGTTTTTCTTTCCTTGTGTTGTTCCTAAAAGGCATCCCCCAAAAAAAAAACAGTCACACAGAGGTTTGGGCATGCAGATTTTGTCGCAGAAATCTTGTCTTACGTAAGGTCTAAGGAAAGTAAGTTAAGGCACGTGATTTCAGGGCATGCAATATCTTTTTGTTGGCAGGGAGAAAGCTGCAATAAAATCACTTGGTTCACGGATCTGATTAATGTCAATAGTATGTGTTGTTTCCCTGCTCCTTTTCAGTACCGAAATAGGAGATTAAAAAAGCCAAAGGTAAACTGGAGAAAATGTGGGGAAGGTTAGTGTTATGTCTGGGATTTGACTCTTTCTTGGTTGAGGTGTATTTAAAAGAGGATCAAGTGTGCCAGTCATTTCTTGTTGTTCTAAAGCCAGTTATCCCAGCTTTTGTGTTGTTACTGCTGTTTATAATTCCCATAGACAATTAGGAGAAATGAAGGCCTGAGCCTGCGGTTTCTTTCTGTGCAGGAGTTAAGTCTGCCCAGCTAGAATAAACTGCAGCGTTGGGGCCTGAGGAAGGAGTGAAACAAACATGCAATTGTGTTCAAAATAGCCCTTACAAATAAGGGGATAATCTTTGAGGAGTTTAACTATAGTTTTTTTGTTGCAATGATAATTGGTGCTGTTTTCCCAGTAGGATGTTGTGTTAGGCTATTGTTCTCACCAGCATGGATTTGTCTGGCTGAATTATAAACTCTGTAAAACTTTATCTAAAAGCATTTCACAAAACATTTGGTAAACACTGTCGGTTTTTTCTTTTTTCTTTTTTTTTAAGGCAGGGATTCATGTTTTCCTTCGTGTGTCGCTGAGAATCAACCTGCACACTTTGGTTAGACAGCAAACTAGAGGGAAGTTGAATGCGCAGGCAGCAGTTTAGCACAGAACTTCTGAAGGGATTCTTTCTCTGAAGCATGTGGCTTTTTTTTAATTGTGAGCAGATCTAGATTTTTCCTCCCCCTTATGTTAAAAACTGCTCTGCATTCAATTTTTGTTTGTCACAGTATGTGGCCAGTTGAGTTTCCTTCTCTACAAGTCCTCCTTTCTTGCTTATTTTTAGCCTCACTGTAATTCAAACAATCATCTTTGTTTCTGTTCCTGTTTGTATACTGATATTGTTGGGTAATTTCAAAGATGTGAAAAAGCACTTAGAGGTATTGTTGATGTAAGCTCCCTCTGCTGGTCAGCTCTGTAATAAATAGCTCTGGAAATAAAGCTCTGGTGTATAGTTTATCACTGAATCATGCAGCAGAAATGAAGACAGTTAAAAGCAGTGACGCACAGTGTTTCTAAAAGCAACTGTCTCTCTGAGCACTTAGTTATAAGTTTGTGACTTTCATACTCATAAGGTTCTTAATTGCAATTAAAATCCAGGAGTTGATCTGTGACATATTCCTTAGAACTGCTGTTGCCATGTTGCATACAGAATCTAAACAATAGCTTGAGAGCTAATATAGAGTGGTTTGGTTTGGAAGGGACCTTAAAGACCATCTAGTCCCAACCCCTCTGCCATGGGCAGAGACACCTTCCACTAGACCAGGTTGCTTAAAGCCTCATCCAGCCTGGCCTTGAACCCTCCCAGGGATGGGGCATCCACAGCTTCTCTGGCCAACCTGTTCCAGTGCCTCACCACCCTCTCCGGGAAGAACTTCTTCCTGATATCGAATCTAAACCTCCCCACTTTCAATTTAAATCCATTACCCCTTGTCCTGTCACTACAGACCCTTGTAAAAAGTCCCCTCCCAGCTTCCTTGTAGCCCCTTCAGGTACTGGGAGGTGCTACAAGGTCTCCCCGGAGTCTTCTCCAGGCTGTCTATTGAGACAGCTATTTGCATACAGTGCAAAATAACTTAATTACTTTGGGTTCCATCTGGTACACTTGCTACAACGTTGCACTTAACAGAGGTCCAGTTAAGGAGCAGTCCTTGCATAGTGTGTAATGTAGCAGGGTCCAGGCCTCTGTGTCATTATCAGGAGGTGTAAACAGGGAACTTAGCTCTCTTACTGATGCGCAGTACAGGAAGGGTGAGTGAAGGACGGTGTTTCTTTGTGCAACTGCTTGAAGTCTGAAGTCTCCTAGATCAGCCTTTCATAGCAAGGATTTGTCCAGAAGAAACTGCGCACTCCTTCCTTCCCAGTATCCAGGCAAATGTTGCGTGAGGTTGGAGTGTGACTGGTGTGAGAGGTCAGTTGCAATGTTGCAGTGCCTACTCTTTTGGAAAGCGTGCAGTATGTCTTAGAAGGTGCTAAAATTAATTGGGTTTCTGTTTTGGTAACACTAGGTTCCTTTACTGCCATCTCCGTTTACGTTACTATGTATGTTTTACCTACTGGTACTAGTTTGTCTGACAGGATATCCAGTTGAGCTTTGAGGTGTGAGAAATGCAGTCTAACTCGCACAGGTTTTGTCAAAGAGTGGTTAACGGGGTCGTACGATAGTGGGAAATAAGCCAGGAGGATTAAAGACCTGGTGCAAAGATCAGAAAAGGAGGGATAGAGTAGCACATGTTAAACTGGTTACCTCTAGAGCAGAAAAGGTTCTTGGGGTGCTGTAAAACTCGTTAGTGTAATTTACTAGGACGTTCTCCATCAAAATAACATTTTGTCTTCATGTCTTAAATTAACAGGATGTGTTGAAAAGAACTTCAGTGAAGAAAATATTTTTCTTAATGTCCAGTTTATGGCAAGTTTGTGCTTTGCCAATTGTGTATTATATGGAGTAAATTAAATAGGTGAAGTCAGCGGGACAGTTACTTGGTTTGCTCAAAAGAAACAAGTCATCGCTGTCTCCCTGTACCTGATGGGTAGTGTCACATGTTAAAAGATTTGCCGAAGTGAGGTAACAAACCCTGGCAGCCAACAAGCCTGTGAGTTTATAACTGGACTAGAAATCAAGGAGGCTTAAATGCATTCAAATCTGTTTAGCTGTGTAGAGTGCGCTGTTGTCTTGGCACCCGGTAAACTTTCAAAAGCTGTTGTACAAAGACATCTATTAGGAACGTGCCATCTGGAGCCTTAGGGTGCTTTCAAGACCTGCCTCAAACGTGCAGCGTAGAGGTAAGTCAGGCTGTTGGTGCGAGATGCCTGTGGAGCAGGGCTGGGTGGGTTGGAGCAAGGTTGCACAATTCGGTCAGGACACAAGGCTGGGTTTTGGTTGTGTTTGTGTGCGTGCTGCCACTGTGACCTCAGTGTTTCTCAAGCTTCTTTTTTTTTAAAGTAATGCTGCTACTGGACCGCCTCCTTCCAAAAATAAAGCTCATCTGCACTGAACAACTTGTATTTTAGGATTGACTGCTGGTCTTGAACAGCTTTCTGAAGCCATGTCTTGGTATCAGCACATTTTTGAGATTGGAAACAAAGGAAAGGGGCTCTTTTGTGTTCTCACTGTTGTCCACATCTGATACCCAGGCATCATCCAGAAGCAGCCTGATTTGACAGCAACAAAGCAAAGAATAGGGGGGTGGGATCAGACTGGAGCAAACAAATGAAAAGGAAGGAACTAAATGTTGATGAGAGGATGGCATCTGGATAGAAACTGCATGTCTTACCATTGAATGGTTACTTATTATTTTTTCCTTTTTATTCTTTGTTTTTTTCCTTTTTATTCTTTGTTTTTTTCCTTTTTATTCTTTGTTTTTTTCCTTTTTATTCTCTGTTTTTTTCCTTTTTATTCTCTCTTTTAATGGCTTATTTGTATCATGTCACTGACATTCTGTGGAATTCTCCATTAGTGCTTTTCAGGTGTCATAGAACTTGCTGATCCCCCTGGGTGTGGATGGTAGACTGTCAGTGGCAGAATGCCCTTCAGGGTATGAGCGATGTTAAAATTTCGAAGTGCAGGATTGAAGGCCTAGATAAGCTCTGCATCTTTGTGTTGACTGTCAGCTTTGTTCTTGAGCTGGTGCAATTGTCCTGAGGAAACTGGGAAGGAGGAGCATGGTGGAAGGATGGATTGTCTGTGTTCCTTGATGGATGATGTCTATGCCCAGTCATGTTTCCAGCTTTTAATGTGGTCCAGCTTGTTTCTAAGTAACAGATCAGGACAATTTCACTTCATCACTTTTCTCTGATGTGTTTCACTGTTTAATTGTACAAATTCATGAGTTTATCTCATGCTTTTGTGCTCTCACAAATAGTTTTTTTACCATAATAACAGCTTTTGATTACACAAGACGTGGCAGATTTGGGTCATGTGCTCAACTGCTCCAGCTTTATTTTTGTTTGCAGGTTTCACATGCACATCAACAGCTTGCTTACATGGCATATGTAAGGTGTTGGGGGGGGGGGGGGGGCAACACAA